TACTACACTCATACACATACTCTTACGCACACTGCACTCGACATTTACGTATTTAAACGTATATTATATCTTCGGTTTCAATACTCGTACAAGTGCGGTGTGTCTGATCTAATTGTTTCCATTGACCCGTCAACAGTGGCGTAATTGATAGTGGCCATTTCGGTTTATTATCCCTTTCGGATTGGTCTTCGCGCCGTCTTTTTCTCGCTTCGTCCAACTATCGTCTAATAAACCCTTAACCAGCCATAAATAAATACATTCTACCGAATGCCACCGAAAGAACAAAAAACCGTTTACGGTTATTTTTTATTGTATGCGTTTTTTTTATGTATAGGCAGTACGCATCCGTCGTCAAAGTTTATGATTTCTATTTTCTCTTCTCTTTATAATACGCATCCCGTGCATAGGTATACGTGTTTTTAATGTTTATTGTAGGTCTTATATGAATATGATCATTTGTTTTTTTACTTAGACGTTCGGCGTACGTTTTGACGACGACGACAATCGTCTATTGTTTGTGCTTATATGTTTTGCGGTTTTCCGACCGTCGATTTATACGGTACACACACACACACACACACATGAATTCACATACTCATATACACAACACTCGTTTATAGGAGGTATGATACGTAGTATAAATGGCTGGACCTTGACGACGAAGTGTGTTTGTACGTGTGTGTGTGTATAATTAATCTCGAAACAAGGGGGCGGACGTGCGACTCTACGGGTCTCCTCTGTCTTTAACGCTTTCCGACTCCCAACGCCGTTACCGTACGATTAATATAATATGTGTAAAAGATAAAAAAAAATAACATTAATAAATTCACCCCTTCGCGCGATTAATCACGTGTACACACACATAGTGGTTTAGACGTTGAGCGTTGAGCGATAATGGAAGTTTCGGGCTTTACCACTCAATTTACACAAATAACACTCGTTTTGAATATAAATGCCAGAAAAGCGATTTACAATGCTACCCCAGTGAGTGTGTATAATTTGCTTTCTCTACCCTGGTGTTTCACAGAGATGAGATTATTGTTAATAGACGTTGCTGTTGCGGTGACACTGTGTAGGTTACATGCACTCGTGTTACTCAACATACACCCGGGGTGAAATGTCTATTGCTGGGGGATATTCATCCTAAATAAACCCAATTAAATTAAAAAAACCTTAGTAAAAAGAGCACAATTTTTAAGTTTTTAACATCGTAACGTTTTGAACACTTTATTTATTTTTATTAGAAAATTTATAATTTACTATAATTTATTACAAATAATTCACACCAAAATAATTTGGTAACTGATAAATAGTGGTTCGATATCCTGTATCTAGAGAACTACCTCTAGATATTAATCTATGCATATCCAAACAATACACGTCACATGGTCACTTAATGGCTTATAATAAATATATAATATTACGACCAGCTGAATCATAAGAATATGGAATTGTTTCAGGTGAAAGTCTTTAACTCTTCTAAACCGATAAAAGTTAATGTGATATGTACGTGACAATATAAAAGTACAAGTATACATGTATACTGCTACATTTTTTCTCTTCCCTAATTTTTCCTGTGCCTTGTTTGAAATCTTCACCATATAAATTGAGGTAGCGTTTAAAATATTACTTAGAAATCGATTATAGATATACGTCCGGGTTAGACAAACACAATTATCAATTATTAGAAAATCATGTCATCCCATTCGCATACAATTGTAATATGTATTTATAATAGTTAGGCAAAATGATATACATATTATAATAATATTTCTATAATTTCTATAATTTAATAATAATTCTTGTAGTGGCTATAAACTATAATTATAAATCTGTGTATGTATTTGATTTCGTTTGGTTAAAACCCTATCAGTAATTAGGTGAATATGATAATATAAACTACTATTTTTGACGCCAAAGATCGATACTATAAATTTCATATATATATATACGTATTTTATCGATGTTTGTTTTATAATACAAAATAAATACCATATTTTATATCTATATAAACTATATGTTTAAAATTATCGAATGTTTAGATCTAATTATGTTTACGTTTTTACCTGTATAAAAAAAAATAAATATTTTATCCTTTTGTCAATTGTTTGCACTATGGTCGTAAAATATTACAAAATCTTGAAATTATACGTTCACTTTTTAGAGTATATTTCGCTGTAAATTGTTTTATTGTTGTTTATTTTTTCAAAAGTTTATTAAAACGGTTGCAAAACAATAATAATAATAATAAATTTAAAAATGTTGAAAAAATATTTTTGAAGACTGAGTTCTTCAATAGTTCAACTTTCGTTTCAAAGACACTTGGGTTGTTTAATAAGTGCTATTCATTTTGAAACATGGTATGCGTGTTTTCCATTGTACTGCAGTGAAGAATAATAGACACTTGACGTACACCACGCACAAAACTAACATAGTTGAGTATAACTTGTAAATTGTGCGGTTCTCGTATTAAATAACATGCGTATATTTAACTTGACGGTCGTGGTTTTATGAATATTACATACTATTCTTAGACGCTGCGTCGATTTAGGATTAAAATATTATTTACATAACATCCATATATGATGATTGTTTGCTTGAATACTATGGGTTTTTTTAAGTGCAGATTTAAAACCCACATGTGACAAGAATCTTGTTAATGAGTACCTCCTACTCGTTGTAAATGTTTTAATTTATCATTAATTTCGACCGATAGTAAAAATTTTAAGCCATGCATGTGTAGCACTTGTACAAAACAAACAACTTGACTTGATTAATACAATTTTAATTTTAATTTAAAAAAATCTTTTGTTTCACTATAAATGAATACAATTTTTTTTTTTGAAATAGAACTCTTAAGTATATTGACCATTGTACTGTTATTTTTTGATTTTTACAGGAATTTAAAAAAAATCGTTTTTATTGTTCATTAAATCATTTACATATTTAAATGTTTATTTTTTACTAAAAAAAAATATGATTTTTATACAAGTAATTTTTACAATGAGTCATTTTAATATACTCGTATATACATATATAAAATATTATAAATAATTCAGTAAAATAATATAATGTACTATACTTCTAATATCTCTTGAATAACAACTACTTCGAATGAAGTTAGAATATCATTAGAAAGGTAAGTGTTACAATATAGATATCCAAGTTTTCGCGTACATTAGTTTTCAATTGAATACACAGTAAATACGCTAATGATTATTCAAACAAAGCAATTGATTTACTTGACGAGTTAAATAATCTAATAAATTATTAAACTGTTTAAAACCATAATTTCGACAATTCATGTCAAAATCGTATTTTTAATGACCATTAATAAACCTCAATATCAAACTTCAGAAAGTTTTTACCCATACGCTCTACACGAATATAAGAAAATTAATTTTTAATTACAAATAATATAGTGTGTGATGTACATTGAATAAATTAGTTTTTAGATGATAAAATTGTTATTTTATACTAGGTAACTTTTTTAATAGGAGTATTAACAAATCACTCTATATGTACTATACATTATACATTTTTATAAACGTATACATATATCAAATAATATTCCTATATTTATTACAGCTTTATGAATATTTTATGTTAACGAAAATATCATTCATCAAGTTCCGTTGTTAATTCGGCTAAATACAACAAATACGAATAAAAAACACAGGCGCCAGCTTGTTAATAATAGGTACTTCACAAGAAAAGTTAAATATAAAAATAGATCACTCGCAAAAATGAAATAATATTTTTATTATAAATTATAGCTAGTGTCTTTATTAAAATCTATATTTAATATACTTGTAACCATAATAATTTAAAATGTGATTCAAGCGATCTTTCAAACAAAATTCTTACAAAACAGAGTTAAGTTTTTGTTGGTCTTACATTGAAGAATGTAGTTAATAAACTTAAATCTAAACGTCACGTATGAAAACCATCTTGTGCAATATTTCTTAACTGCTGCAGATGAGCAAGTATATATATTTCAGACAGTTCCATACCTTATTGGCTCATAAAACTTAAATCTGTAAATGACAAGTGGAGTACGATCCAAACCATTTTCGGTCGTTTTTCTAGAAACTTTAATGTACTGTCCTGATCACGTAAGAACTTAAACCTCTGATTTTACTCCGAAGTGTTTCTTTATTTTGTTATAGAAACTTGTTTGGTAAAATCACGCCCATTTTATAAAGTTGTCTTTATTTATCACCAATATGAGGTCTTAAATGTGACGTAATAAGTTTTCGTTCTCTATTAAATATCATGTTTATGACAGCAGTTGTATACAAAATACTTATATATTTCATAAGAATTGGTAGTGAAAACAAACACACTAATTAGAAATTAATAATTCGTGACAATAGTCTACAAACCATAAGTTTATGAAAATCTAATTTAAACCCAGAGAAATTATTTTTTTTAAACAAATGCAATTTTATAAAGGCAATAATTGTTTTCATTTCTTGTTGTTATTAAATGTATTTATTAAAATTTTACCCATGACGAGCTTGTCGTATAGGTATAAGGGGGCTAAAACCCTCAAGGCACCAAATAAATTTGTGTTGCCGCACTCCAATCATTGAATTTATGTAATCAGTAATCTCTTATTATGTTTATCGTACAATCCAATTGCCTGGGGTTGAACAACTATGAAGTAGTTATAACAGAAAATAAAAAAAAATATTAAGAATATGATTTTATATTGTAAATACTATAATATTAAACAAATATACAGTTAGAACGTTCGTATTACATGCATACCACAGTGGTGCAGCTGTAAAACGAATAATGAATAGTTTAACCATATGTACGGTTTGCAATCTAACAATATAGTATAAATTAAAAACGATGTCTATCCTTTTATACGTAACGCGATTAAATCGTAGTTGACTCGACCAAGTCAATAAAAACATAAACTCTTGTGCGCGCGCAAGCAGTGAGAAAAAATAAATTCAAAACACTTACATAGATATTGTTTTTGATCCTAGGGAAGAGCTTATGTTGCACCAAATAACGGACGGTGAACATTTCATGCAGTTGATATACGGCACGAAGAAGACGCTCCTAGACTGCGAGTACGTCAAGGAACGCACAGCGGCTAAAGATTTCGTCCGTGAGTTTTGGGGAGAAGAACAGGGCAAAAACCACACGGTAGGCTCTTTGTCGAAAAGATATGCCCGTATGGTCGATTTCCAACATTTGAAAAAGGTCTGTCATCAAAATCATAAAAAAACGAGAAGAAGACTGGCAAATGAACAGCAGCATCGTGAGCAGTACGACTTAACTAAACTCATTAGCGACGGGTCAGTTCAATATCATGTATTATTCTCATTGATAATCGCATATTAGTATTCCAACAGCATTGTTCAGCCGGAAACGCGTATTTTGAAATATTTACATTTGGGTTGCACGTTTTGATCACTTTTTATTTTAATGAAACTTAATTTAGTAATATAGAAAACTTTAATAAAACGTCGTGCCAATAATACTAGTGTTTATTTTAACTTTCAATCTACGCACTATTAGCTAAAACACCTATCCCCATGTACAGAAGTATATTTTTATAATTGTATTGGTTCATTCATACGCTAGATTTTTAAAAAGATCTGTTCATTTATATAAATCACTACATTTCTACTCGTAAAGATAACAATAAAAATCTCGATACAAAAGCTTATCATTGAAATAGAGGTGTTTACTTGTAATTATGGTTTATAAGTATCTATGCCCAACAATAATTTAAATAAAGTACAATAAAACAAGAATTTATGGGTTTTCATGTATTTCTTTCGGTAAAACACTTCTATAACCTCTCGTAATAAATACATTTATAAATATATATATATTTTTTTTACTATAACGTAACTACATTACATATCTTATAAAACGCCTAACCTTAGACCTATTTCAAGATACTATCGTATTAACACAATTTGAATTTCAATATTTCAGTAAACGTCGTAAGAGAGATCTGATGTCTGTGTTAAGAGTTCCTGGTACGAAATGGTGCGGCAAAGGGCGATCGGCTAAATCGTACAAACAACTTGACGGATTTGGTAGCGCAGATCGATGTTGCAGGATCCATGACACGTCTTGTCCGATGACGATCGGCGCTTTGGAAAGAAAGTACGGTATATTCAATTGGAGACTGAATACACTCATGCATTGCTCGTGCGACCGCAGGTACCTTTACTTTATCAATCAAAATCAATGATTTACTAAACGGTTATCTTAAGGTATAAATTAATTATTATTTAAAAAAGTATACCTATGTAAAGGAAATCATTAATACCTACACGCACTATAATGCTCAGCATATATTACAATAACTATGTTTAAGCTTGTTCGTTTGTAAAAAGTATCGTAAGTAAACGGAATGCAGAAAAGATTGAGAGCAATATCAGCGTAATGATGTTTTACATTTTAAACACTTCTGAACATTTTGCATTACTTTATATATAGAGGCCTTTAAAACCGTTACGTTTGTTATTTCACTGATTCAACACACATATTTATAAATTAATACAATAACAATGTTCAAACTTTTTTTTGTACTAAAGATATTGAAAAAAATATTCTGATAGCATATAAAAATCTATATATTTGAATATTAAACTGGAATAATTGGTTATACTGTATAAATATTAAAATTTTTGTCCGATTAAATTTAATAGATGATAGATCGGTAAACGTAAAATGTTTTGACTATTATATATTTGTATTAACATATTAGCAAATATTAAAATGAGAAGATTTATATTATACATCGATGGTTTAATAAGACTACTATTTTTTAGAGACCATATAAATTTCTAAATTCTAATAGACAAAGTAAAGTCTTTAATTGAAGCAAGTTCCTAACATTTTAATTGGTCTTAATTAAACTCTCATTCGCTCAATTACAATCACGATAGAAGTTTATTTTAATTAAGTGTTATACATTTTTTGTTTTGATAACTTTTTTCTTAAACTTACATAAAAATCGTATAGTAAATTTACCTCAAATTGCAATTCAGTATGATATTTGACTGTGTAATTAAATTATTACAAGATTTGTTTGTAAAATTATCATTCAACTTTAGACTACATTTTATGATTGTATAATAATATTTTTGTGGGTATTACATTAAAATTAAACTACCCAAAGCCGTGTTTAATAGGGGACTAGTGGTGTAAAATGTCATGGTGTTTGATGGAGCTGCTTTACATTTTTTGAAGACTTTTAATCACAATGACGAAATATGTAATATATGTAAATACTGACTGTAATTAGTAGTCAAGTGAACTGTTTTGAAGTGTAATTTTTTTAAGAGTGGCATAATTTAATTTGCCCTGGAACAACATAGCTTAACGCGGAACTGAAACAACCTTTTATAATACACGAAAATTATTAGAGATTAACGAACCCATATAATTTAAAAAGTTTACATTTTTGTTGGGATGTATATTGACATAGTAGAAGATGATTTCCATTGGGGAAGCATATTTAAAGTGACGATAACAATGTTGATTTTGTTGTTCAGCCTACCCACTGTTTCAGAACACTTCAATATTTGTTGACTTGTTGGACATTTATGATGCTATACAAAATAAGCCTAATTGACTGTTCTCTCTTAAAAAAAGATTTTATTATTTCATTTTTATTTAAAAGTAAATATTACGTTTTTGTCGGTTAAATCTTTAACGCTTCATGTTAAATGGGAATACATATTAAAAAAAATAAAAAATAAAAACATTTTGAATCAATAGAAGTTAAAAACTATCATCGAATAATCGTAATCAAAAATAAAGTTGGTATGTATTATTACATTTTTATAATAATGGATTAACCGGTTTTTTAGAAAGCGTAGGTGCAATGGTGATATATTTCTTTACTGTACTAATATAATTTCGGGGCCCGATGGGCATATCGACATTGAAGATAATGAGAAAATTCTAATTTTAAGAATATTATTACTATTGTATGACACATATAATAATGATATATATATATATATATGTATATCTGTGTGTGTTATATTATTATCCTAGCTATTGAAAACTTAAACATAGGTATACATTATTTGACGATTTTTGAGTGTTATATTATAAATATTTTATCCATGTATATATATATATATATATATATATATATGTATATACATATATATTGAAAACTTTTATTTATAGTATAATAAAAAACCAAAAGCATATGTCTAGTGTTTTTACAACTACACATATCCTAACACGGTTCAAACATTATTGACTTATACAAATCGCGTCAAATAATGTTATTTACATTTTTAATCATATAATAATATAATATATTAATGAGTTTAAATTACAATTAGGTATACGCCTTAAATACAAAAAAACAGTTGTATACATTTTAATTTGTAAGAAATTAAATCAAGTGCTATTCGTAAATGTAATCAGTAATGATGTAATTCAAAATTATCTTCAAAGAAAAATAAAAGTGACTAAGCAAAATACTAATGTATAATGTTATACTTGCATTTAATTTTCAAATTATAGATTACAAAATTACTTTATTTTAAAAAAAACTGAATAAAAATTCTTGCTTGTCGAAGCACTTTAAATATTTGTTAGTTTAATAAAATATCCAAACACATTTAAACATTAATTATTGCTTATTAGTAATTCTAAAAAGGATTAAAATTGGTACAATGTATTAGTTTAAATTATATGTATATTATTAGCTAAATAGTAATTGCAAAATATATATTACAGATATTGTTCTCACATGTGCATTTCTTTCGTTTATTTATATAGCACAGCAACACCAAATATAATACTTTGGCATCTATTCAAAATAAAATAAACACTGAGAAGAATTGTTAATTCAACATTCAAGGTTAATTTAAGATGAAATTTGTTAAAATATTTTAATAACATACTTAATTTATTGATCACAATGCAAAATGGTTTTCACGTTGGTATACCATACGTTTTGTTGGACTTTCACTCCGTTAATATTTAACTTTAATACTTTGTCGTATAATAATGGAAAATTAAATATTTATGTGAATTAGTTTACTATGCATTTTATTATTATACACTACACAAGCCTAAAAGAAACAGTTGACAAAATGATTTATAAGTAGCTATTCGAATGAAAAAGTATAGTTGTACGAATGAATCTGTCCCATTAGCCACGCTCTTATGAAAGGGCGTGTTTTCTAAATTTAATTTAAATGTTCTATCCCACTAGGAGAACGAATTTAAATATATAAAATATTTTTACCCTTCTTTCGGTATTTATTAAGGCCCAACATAAATTATAACCTCACATATTGGTGTACAATAAATATTTTTATTTCATTGAAGGCATATTTTAAATTACTCGTGTATTGCGATCATCAAAAAGTGATTTGATATAGTCTATGGACCAAAAAAACCATAAAAACGTAACACATGAAACCAAATTCCCGTTATATATATATAT